CTGCTGTAATCATTTGTTTTTTTTTGTTTTATAGGCAATTCTGAAAGTCTGTAGTGTAAAAAGAAACAATGGAAATTCTTTAATTTATCTAGCAATAGTAAAAATTAACCTTTACTTACCAGACATAATAACTTCTATTATTATCATCTTTTTTCTTCGTTCCTTTTTAGGTGCGAAAGAAAAAAAAAACAAATGAAAAAAGCTTTTTTTCCAGGTGGATTCTTATGTCTTTCAAGATTCACGCCATCTCAACACACTGTTATTGTCGCATAATTCAATTGAGTCATTAGCATCTGACGGATTTGCCAAATGTGTTGAACTTGAACATTTGGATTTATCCGGCAATCATATAAAATCTACAAATCGCTCGTTGCTGGCTGTGAACAGTTTAGTGTCTGTAAATCTGAGTTATAATTTGCTGGCTGTATTAGAGTGGACTGAATTACCTGAAAGTTTAAAAACGTTGGACGTCTCAAACAATCGGATTGCTGTATTGAGCATGGCATATGATTCAAGGATAAGAAATGTCAAGGTGAGATTAATGAGGTGAAGTTGTTCGGTGAAGTGACTCATTGTTAGGTATAAGTGTCATTTAGTCAGCAGACAAGTAGGTTGATAGAGGATTACTATACTCCAACAGTGTTATTTATTGATGATGCTAATGAGGTTTGAGATGGGGCAAAAATATATATTACAGTGATCTCAAGTATTTATAGCTGTTTTTTTGTAGCTGTGTTGGTGCAAAAAGCCCGTAAAAAATAAAAAAAATATAGTAATAAAAAATGAACTATTCTAAATGTTGATTCAGTAAAAAATAACAACACTCGTTTACTTTACAGTTAAACAACAACGAACTGCAATCGTTGTCACCGTCCAGCATTCCCAACTCGATAGAAGTGTTTAGTGTAAATTCGAATCGAATTGAGTTTGTTTACCCAGGAACTTTTGAAAACAAAACCAATTTGAAATTAGTTCACATGCAAAACAACAAGCTCAAGGTAATATCCAAGTCTGCATTTGGTCTGTCCAGAAAATTTCTACCTCCAACTCATTTCTACTTTGCTGGGAATCCATTCGAATGCAGTTGTGAAATGGCATGGCTTTACCGTGGTCCCGTAAGTTTTTATCTGTTCCGATGTTCATGCTTCTTTTTTTTTTGTCATATTTGCTACCAAAAAACGGATTTTTAGTTGTAAAAAGTTGAAAGGGAAATTGAACTCTCGTTGCAAAAGAAATAACTGTGCGACAACAGACTTCATATTTTGAAATTTTCGGGTTTTAGGGTAAAGAACAACTGAAGATAATTGATGAAGATGAAGCAGAATGCTTTCATGTTTACGAGAAACAAACGTTGGCTTTATCAGAGGTTACAGATGAACAACTTCTTTGCTCTTATAAACAGGTTATCATTTTACATCACAAAAAAGCTTTTCTTCTGTCTTTTTTTTCTTTCTTGCTGTCTATGCTACTTCCACTTACCAAATCACGGACGATGAACAATTTCAGTTTTGCGGATTTAAATGTCCATGCTGTGAATTTTCTGTCTGTTACTGCCACTCCAAGTGCCCAGCTGGTTGTGATTGTTATCGAAGTTACAATGCTTCCACAAATATTGTAAGATGTACAGGCCTGGAAGGAGAAGATCGGAAACACTTTGATATTCGAGTAAGAATTATTTTGGTTCATACAATTTTATCCTTTCCTCTGCAAGCAGCATTTCTTATGAATTAGAAAAAGATTTAATTGGCTTAATCTTTTGTAGCAGCAAATTCCCAATGAAGCAACTCATATATACCTCGAAAGGATGAATCTTTCCAACATCGCAAGACATTCTTTTCTTGGTCTCTTGCTTCTAAGACAGCTGCATATTAATGCGTCTGCGATCAAAAATATTGAAAAGCAGGCGTTTAAAAGTTTACGATCGTTGAAGGTAGATTTATTAATTCATTTACCAATTTTATCATGGATTTTTGTAAAATAAATATGCTCAGGTGAAAAGCAAACAAATAAATTGAAAGAAGAATACTGAATTGCAGGTGTTGGATTTGTCAGATAACGAGCTTGAAAAATTTACTGGTGAAGAATTCAACGAAGAAACGGAGCTCACACATTTGTTTCTCAATAATAATCGACTTCAGTCATTGCCTGCAACAATCCAAGAAAAACTGCCATCTTTACAGTTTATAACTTTGCACAACAACAATTTTGAGGTGCTTTTTTTGTTTTATAATATATCGAACTCTTTTTCAAAAAGAACTTCGTTTTATTCTTTGTCGACAAATTTCTTTACGCATACTGTGCATCTTACAGGACCTACCAGAAGCTGTGGAAGTATATGGTGAAGCTGTGTCGAAGATGTCACTTGGCAAAAATCCCTTTAGATGTGACTGCACGGATCGTTTTAAAATGCAGGGTTGGCTTCTAGACAACTTAAATCGAGTTGTAGATGCAATTAGCATAGACTGCGTGGAAAACGTCACTGAAGCTTTCTTGAACAACGATACAACCGTGTTGAGTGCTCGGCCACCTAATCAAGGAGCTGATATTTTTGCTATGAACATGTTAAATTTTATTCAGAAAGCAAATAGGTGGGTTTATTATATTGTTGCATAACTCTTTTGACGCTACTGAGTAAAACCTCTGACAATGTTATTTTTTAAGAAAGAAATTTTAAGTAGGTGCGAAGTCTTTGTTTCAGTCTGAACGGCCTAAACGCTATAAGCTATATTTAATTTTAGATCAATTTGCATTCCGGAAGCCGACGGGATTTTCAGTATCCAGAAGCCAACTAACTATATTTTAATACTTATTGGAGTGCTGGTACCGTTTTGCCTTGTAATGTGTCTTGTAGTTTTTGGCCGAGTGGTACTTCGTAAGACACATGAAGCAATGGCTCAACGCCGATACAAATGTCCACCTTCGCTGAACTGTTCTCAAATAACTCCTGGCTCAAGTCCTGTTCCTTTGATCCATTTTGATGCATTTATTAGTTATGCAAAAAAGGATGAAAAGCTTGTGATCGATGCATTGTGCAGGTCTGCTAATACAGTTCTACTGCATATTTTATATACTACCTATGCTTATAGTTGTTGTATTTTCACGTTTATTATCACGCTTTCCGCACTTATAGGCAACTTGAGTACGAGGAATATCTGTTATGTTTGTTACATCGTGATGGTCCTGCGTACAATATCCGACTACATTCTGTTTCTGATGAGCTAATCAATCAAATGGAGTGTTCTAAGGCATTAATATTAGTGTTGACACAAAATTTCCTTGATGGCGAATGGAAAACACTTCAGGTAAATTTTGCAGAGATAAATGATGTAAAGAGTATCATATTACACTGATAAATGGATCACAAGTATTGAACGTATTAAACATGAATAAAATTTCTAGATAAAAACTTCTCATCGACTGTTTGCCAAAAGTCGAGGAAAGAAGTTGATTGCTTTGTTGGGTGATGGAATTGAACCAAATCAATTGGACGCTGAATTAGGTCAAATTTTACGGAAGAATACTTGTATTAGGATGAGTGATCCTTTATTTTGGAATCTGTTGCATTCTGCTCTTCCGGAAAGGATATCACCTTCCACATGCAGTGGTGATTCGTCACAAATTTATTCGGACTGTTATGGAACTATTGTACCAAGTGATATTGTTTAGTATGACAAAAAAAAAAAACACTTTTTAAGCCTTCATTAATCTGCCAAAGTCTTCTCTTTTGCGGGTTCTAATCATTAATTTAATACATTTTAGGATAATAGTTAATATTAATGATTTATTAAAGCAGATATTCTTTTTAGAGGGTTTTTTTAATTCAGGAATGTTTTGGTATAAAACAAAAAAAAAAAGAATTTGTTTTTTTCTGGAAGTATACGACACATATTAATTGAGTGTAATTTTTGGATGGTCTCTAAAAAGTAGTTCTTGTTGAAAAAATTTTTTACTAATCAGTCTATTTCTTCCACATAAATTTATATTATATCACTGTAACAACAGTAGGATAATAAGCGTTCAATTTTTTGCTTTATTTTCTCCTTTTTTTTTGTTAGTTATATCAATCTGAAACAACAGTAATTTACTTTTAGCAGAGCAGTTAATCTGCTCAAAAAAAAAAAAGGACAGAAACAAAAATTTAGCAATGGTATTTCTATACGGGTCTATTGGTTGCCTATTTCAAATTCTGACTTTCCATAATATTTGATTAAATGGTTTTTTCTTTCCTATTCTAAGTATTATTCTGACTTGAAGATTTTTCTAAAACATCAGAAACATTGTGCATTTGTATTAACAGATGGGAACAATGCTACAAAAAAGTTTATTTATGGACAGTCAGATTTGATGGTTAAAGGCAGTATTACTTGTCAATTTGTTTTTTTCACCTTTGTTTTAATTTGCCATTTTCAGATATAAATTTCACATCATTTCTTTCATATGATATATGCGATCTGTTTTATGATTCGTATGTAAATAAGTGAAAAGAATTTCAATTTTTTTTTTTGTTGAAAATATTTACTGCTCAAAAGCTTTAATTGTGTAAATGTAAGAAAGATATTGAGAATAAGTGTTGCAAAAAAAAAAAAGCAAAGTTTTGTAAAAACGAAGAGGAAGAAAACAAAAAAAAAAAAGCAAAAAGGAAGAAAAAAAAACAACTGGAATACTTTCAGATCTGTAAAATTATGACACTTTTTTTTTTTGGATTCTTTTTGTTTTTGTTTTTTTTCCTCTTTTCATTTTTGTATTTGGTTACAAAAAAAAAGTTTTGAAGTTTTTTGGTCTTTTCAGATTTTCTGTTGTAAATTTTTCTATTATTTTCTAGCTGGAAATTTTATGCCCAGTTTTACTGTTCTTCCCAGTGAGTCTTTTGATCAGCGAAGACTTTTTTCCTTTCAATTGTTCAATAAATGATTTGAGCATTGTTCAAATGAACAAAATAAACAGGTAAATCATAAAACAGCACACACACACACACACACAGATACAGATCTTCGGTATTTTATTCCTATAACTTTATTTCAACCTGCTTGAATGTTGTTTGACGATGCTGTCAAAATGGAAAGAATTGAGTAATCTTCAGCAGGTATTCTGTTGTTTTGTATAAAAACACTAAAATAGAACAAAAGAAAGAAATTAGTGTTCAGAAAAAGGATTCCAGAAAAAAAGAAACGTAATGTAATGAAGCATCTGTTAACAATAAATTGAACATAGTTTATATTTGCAGAACAAAATTTGATTGCAAAATTGGCAGGAAGAGCAAAAGGTTTTTTGGGCTGTATTTTGATAGTCCACTGATGAA